CTGGCAACAGTTTTTCGGGAGATCTGCTTTCCTGTGGTAGCAAGAAACTGATTTGCCACCTGCTGAGCTGTGGTGCGCCTGTTCCTTTTTACTGATAGGACGATGTATCTGTCTTCAGCAGGCGTCTTACTTCTAACACGACCTCCCCCTTGCCGCTTACTACACATTCCAGTAGTTTTAAAAGATTTCCACAGCCGTTAAACAACACCGTCAGCGATGTCGAACTCCCTGGCAACGTCTCTTATTTTTCGCCCTTCTTTGATCTTTCCAATAATTCGGCCACGCTTAAAATCATCTAAGTAATATCGGGAAGACATGCCGAAAATTTCAAGTTCGTCAACTAAATCTTTCCTGTAAAACTTTAACTTGAAACAACAACTCTCCACACGCGTCAAAACCTTTAAAGCTCTTATCAGCGCTATCACGTGATGAACAGACGTGGAAAAAAAATTTGCATACTCATACCTCTTCTTACTATATCCCGCACTTATTCTAATTTTCCACATTTTGCTGCCTTTCATTTTGTGGTTGCTATGGATGATAGTGTTATCCGTCCTTAGCAATTGTCCAGCAGTGTACTATAGCACATTTCTAATAGGTTTAACGAATTACATGTCATTTATTTGAATTCAAATTTATTTTAATGACTTAGTATTTACTAAAAAGATGTATTTTTTGAAAAAAAAAGTTGTTATATGGATTTGAATGATTGTTTTGAATTCTTAGAATTTTGTGCATTTGCAACGTACCTAAGTTAGTAGCGAGCGAAGCGATCTTGGTTTGCGAAGCAAACCATATAAGATTGCGTAGCAATTTTCGGTGGTTGGAGAGCGTTAGCGAGCAGGGGGCGCAGCCCACTAGTATATATATATTTCACCGTGTTAAATTAACTTGTTGGTTTTGTTCCTTTATTATTATTATTATATCAGTGCAAATCAAATTCAGAATTACCAATTGAAAATAAGATTTATTACACGACTTGTAGGTAATCATTAAAATTTCAAACGATTTTAAGGAAAGCTTAATTTTTTTAAAATAATGAACTGAATTTGATTCTACGTTGTAATATAATTATTTTTTTTAAATAAGTGCTTATTTTTTAATTTTGAATCATTCGAACTTTCATGGAAAATTCACGTAGGATGGTGTCTCGGGAGAATTGCTGATCCTTCTCCTGAAATGAACTAATTTAGAACAGCTAAATCCTCTCCCATATCTTCAAGACAGCATTTAACCCTTTGAAATTTTTTTTCAAGTTTCTGAATTTGGGAGGTATTTGCTCAGATGCTGTCTTAGCTGGAGGAATCTGTCGGTGGCGGAATAACCAAAATGTTTGGAGAAGTCTCTGACTGAGAAGAAGGAGGAGGAATCGATGATTCAGTGTTGGTCTCAAATTTCTTCCTCTTTCTCGCAGTAGATGATGTTTCTGCAGGCTCAGATTCATAATCAAGCTGAGGGTCTTGCTATCAATATTCTCTTAATATGTCGTTTCCTTGATGCTAAATAGAATAACAAAAATAATGCTAAGAGTCCTGTTAATCCTTCCCAGGAAGTACGCTGCCATCTTCCTCCAATTCCTTTTTATCTTGCCTCGCAGAGGTCCTCAAGATCGTTGCTAAATCCTGAAAAGCAGCGATCGTAAGATCTCTCGGGAGTACGAGGTTCCGATCCGCATTTCTCATCGTTGGGAAGAATATCAGCAGTCGCCCTCGTTGCTCCGTGCTTGGTCCCAACACAACCTTACTCTCGGTGGAAGTCTTGAACAGGACTCAAAATATAATAAAGCTAGACTAGATATAAGGTCTCACTTCTTCTTCTGCTCTGTTGGGTTCGTTGGCGACTGTGACTAATGGCAATAATGATGAAAAGCCTTACTTGTCTTGTGTGATGATTGGAGTATCTCCTTCTTCCACTGCTTGCTGGCTCCGGGAAGTGGAGAAGTTCTCTAAATATATGCACTTATCTGGTGACTGAGTTGACAGTACTCCTGTGCTGTCGGTTCTTTTTCTGTGATCTCCTTCTCGGCCACTCCAGTGAAGCATGCTGGGTAACTTTCTTGTCAGTTAATGCAAGTCTCGAGGTTTCCCACACACTGATCAAGATGTCCAAACAACGATAGCCTTGTATCTGAAGCATTGATATCTGAGAAATGTTGCAGATTCCTCATAATCATGAAGAGGGGGAGAAGCCAGATCTCTTACTCAGCTGAATGATTTTCAGCAATGTGAATCCATTGTCGATAAGATTTTGAAGTCTCCATCGAATCCTTGGATGAGAATCTTTAAGTTCCTATTAGTGGACTGAGGGATTCTATCTGGAGTGTCGTTGGTAGCGGGAGCCTCCTCCGTCGCTTTGGATGCTATTGTTTGCTCTATCGGCTCCGTCGTTGTGCGGGAACTGTCTTTCTCTCAAAGGCGGTGGTCTCGCCCTCTATCTCTGAATCGTCTTGTGTCGCCGTGATTCTTTTTCTGTTGGTTGGAGGACAGTGCACTCGCTGGGGTCTCTGCTGGTGATCTTCTAAGTCTCAATAGATGGTTGTTTCAAAGGCAGTGTCCACAGGAAATAGCTCTGCCTTTCTTTTTAAAAAGGCTACTAGAGCCGCGATGTCTCAGGTGATAGAGAGTTCGCCTTCCAATGAAGTGAGCCGGGTTCGAATCCTAGCGATAGCTGGTCAATATGAATTCTGCATCCGGCTCGCACTTACCACAGTGCTGGCGTAAAATATCCTCAGTGGTAGACGAATCATGGGTTAGAGTCTCCTTGCCTTCAGGCTAACAGTGAGAAGTTTTCATGGTCTTCTTCTCCATGTAACGCAAATGCGGGTGAGTTCCATCAAAAATACCTCCACGAAAGCAAATTTCTCCCACTACTTGATCCAGGAGTTCCCTTGTCTTCTAAATTGGGTTCAAAATGACAAAGTTATGGAGTTGAACATTAGTAGACGTAAACCCAAAAAATTGAGTCGGCTGTTCCAACGACGGTTATAAAATAAAAATATAAAGGCTTTGAAAAAAAAACTGATCGCCATTGGCTACCGATTTATTCTTTCGAACACAGTTTCAAAACAATTCAATCTTGCTGCCAATAAACCCGTTCGAATCATACATTTTAACAAATTTCCTGGTCCACTCTAAGTGAGCCTCATCGGTGGTCATTTCTTAGAAGGAAATTCTTCGCTTTTCCTCACGGCCGTATAGCTGATATGAATAACCATATCATAACCGTCGTTTAACAACCGATCCAATTTTTGGGTTTACGACTACTAATGTTGAATTCCGAAGCCTTCTCATTTTGAACCCATGGAGAGGAAGACCATGAGAACTTCCCACAGGGATTCGAGCACGGTTCACCTCATTGGAAGGCGAACGCTCGATCCCCTGACCCATCGCGACTCGATATGAAGACATTGTAGCTCAGATGGTTGTTATTATAGAACCTTACTCTGCGAGATCCAAAACGATGGTGAGACTAAAAGAATGACAAATTCCCTTAAATATTTAATTGTTTATGGTAGATTAATTTCTTTATATAATATAAAATCATAGAAGTCTGACCTCGTTTTCCATTGTTGTCGGCGCATTTTTATTGGCTGAAAAATCACGTGGTAGGATCCAGTTTTCCCCATTCTTTTCCATATTGTTTAGGTTGTCATCAGCACAAAATTAACTAAAGTCGTAAAGGTATTCGCGATCGCAACGCTCGAGTACGCCGTCTAGCGGGAGCCTGTAAATATCGGACATTAATTTATCACGTTTTCATTTAGTTCCATCAAAGTCATTGACTGAATCAGACGCCATTTTTTAGCAGCNTTAGCATTGAAATCTCCATTGATAACAATTGGTAAGGTCGGAAGTTGCATAAGATGCATTTGGAGTTCATCCAGTGATGGTGCAATCACCGCCGAAGGGGGAACATAGATGCTCACAAAGTAAAAGTTGAAATCCCGTATTCTAATTTCACTGATTATTAAGTCTCTTTTAATAGTAATAGGTAAAAAGTCAACTATTTTATGATTTATAAGAATTGCCGCTCTTGGCCTATGATCACCAGCAATTATATCTATTCCTGTCTGAAATTCTGTAATTTTATTATCTATGTTGAAATAGGGTTCATTTAGTGAACTTACAGCAATCTGTTTAGAGATAAAATCTGCGGAGTGTTGAGCATTAGCAAAGTGGGAATGGTTAAGATTAATATGAGCTATTTTAAGTTTGTGAATATCTTTATCCATAATTTATTCTTTTAATAATCTGTTCTCTCTCCCAGATGTAGGTTTCACAGTATTTATAGAGTGAGCTATGTAACTACTAATGTTCAACTCCACAGCCTTGTAATTTTGAACCCAATCCAGAAGACAAGGAAACTCCTGGATTGAGTATTGGTAGAAATTTGCCTTCGTGGAGGATTTTGGATGGAACTAACACGCATATGCGTTGCATGGAGAGGAAGACCACGAGAACCTCCCATGATTAGCCTGACGGCAAGGGGACTCAAACCCATGATCCGTCTACCACTCAAAATATTTCACGTCAGCACTGTGGTCAGTGCAAGATGGTTGTGGAATTCGTATCGATTGGGATTCGAACCCGGTTCACTTCATTGGAAGGCGAACTCTCTTTCCACTGAGCCATCGCGACTCCCATCAGCTTACATGTGAAAATGAAATCGAGAGAAAAGAAGTACGCGTATATTTAGAATTTTTAGTCACCACTCTTTCGTGAGTTTGAGTTCATCTGAGAAGAGAGAGACCACTTAAGCGAATGCTTTATCATCGGAGAAAGGCATTATTGAAATATTGAAAGTTTTGTTATATCTACGTAAGTAGTTTAAAATTTTAAGAATTGAAAAAAAGTTATCTCAGGTTAACTTAGAATGAATCATGAAGACTTAAATGCTGAAAAAAAATAATAAACATAAAATATCAAAATGTAAACAAATTATGGGAAGATTAATTAAGATTACGTCGTGGGATTTTTTTTTTAAATATTGTTTCAGCATTTGGAACTATACGATTTACTTTAAATTTGTTTGAACTCACGTTTCTCTGAATTTTAAGTTTCTAATTAGCATCAAAGTTGAGCAAAATTTGTCGTAAAACGTTTTTTTCCCACGGTATAGTCCCTCTTTAAGAAAACTGCGTCTATTCTCATTTTCTAATGCACTGACTCACATCGCTGCATAATCAAGAGATAGCAAAAGTGAGCATAAAATTATTTTATAATTGTCCTAAACCACATTGGATGATTTCACAATTCCAGTTTCCCTTTTACTGCTTTGTACACGAACCATATTAACAGAGAGAAATCACGAGATATTCTCAAATATATAAAATTTTAATGATGGTGTCGCAGTTTTCCATTGTTGTCGGTGCATTTTTATTGGCCAGAAAATCACGTGGTAGGATCCAGTTTTCCCTCATTCATTTCCATATTGTTTTGGTTGTCATCAGCACAAAATTAACAATAGTCGTAAAGGTATTGTTTTTCTTTAAATATTTTTGTATCCCTAATTTAAACTTATTTTCCAGTACTGCTACTATTAGCGAGAGTATTAAATTATGGTTGTGAACTCATCAAATTTGCTTGAACAATACAATTCTCTAAGAATATAAATGTTATTTTAAAAAATGATTACTTCGAAAAATCACTTCCGTTCACCAAGAGATCTAATATTTGGGTAAAGTAATATTTGAGAGTAATATTTAGACGTGGGAAGTAGAGGCACAAGCGTAAGTAAACAGAATTCCTTTTTAATATGTACATCTATGTTGAGTGAATAATTTTAACTTTAATAGAAAAATTGTTTTCTGCCAAGAAAAGACAATTATTGTGAAGGAATATTGCAAAGCAATAATCGGGGTTGGTGAGCGGCAGCGAACAGGGGGCTTAGCCCAATAGTTAAATTATATTGATCCTTAAATCAGGCGCAATTTTTAATAAAACATTTGAAAAGGTGAATATTTTATCCCCTAAAAAACATTTAGTTTACCTAAGGGCTAAATACCAACATTAATACAACACTCATGTATATTTTAAGAAGTGATTATCACTGATCAAAATATCGAAACCAAGTAATATTAGCAATGAACTATTAATAAATGAAGATTAATAATTCTCTCAACGAGCGATTACAGTTATAAATGAGTGAAATTTTAATAACGTTATAAACTTCAAAGATAGGAAAAAATTTAAGAAAAACAACAGCTAACAGAGAGAATTCTTGACTTCTTTTAAAACATAGTTCGAATTATAAAAATAAACTGAACTAAAGAAAACAGGTTTTGTTGAAAAAAGTTGAAAATTATTTAACTGTAAATATATACAGGTATTTTCAGCGTAGTACAGAGCACAAGCTAAATGTTTAACGAATAAATTTCAATCAAAGTTTTTTTATTTTATTTTTTAATTTTTATTTTTATCAGCTTTAAATGCATAAAAATGAGTGAGAAACAGTTTTACAATACGTTTTTATTTTGTAATTTAGGTTGAAATCAGGGATGACCATTGGCCTATCTTTTACGGAAGAGTAACACTATCGGAAAAAATATATATGTGTGCGTATCCCTTTTCGCTTTTCAAACCCACAGAAGAACATAAAATGTTGAATACATATTTAGTTACACAGTAAGTTTAGTATTGCGACACTTTTAGAAGGGAAAAAAATACCATGAGAGTATATCCGTGTCACCCTGAAATGTAACAATTAGGTACTTGCAATTCAAGAAGAAGACCAACGCATATGACGTCAGCACCAGCTAATCGCTATCAGCAAAATGGCGTACTAAAGTTGACCTAAGTTTCTCTGCATAAGTTAGAATGTTAATGAAGGATAAGTTAATTAAATACAGATCCGTATCGCACATCGAATAAGTTGAATTATAATTCTTTCTCGTCTACTTTTTTTACTTAACTTAGAGATTTATTATTTTTTTTCGTATTTTATTGTAGCCGTGATATTTTTATGTTTTGTGTAGCTGGCAACTCTGATACATAATTAGTTTGTTTATGTTCCCCGTGTCTTCGTGCATGTCTTTGTGTTAAATCTCTGTGTAAATATAGAGTGAGAGAATTGAAATGTTTGGGAGAGAATCTTTATGAAAGAATTTAGAGTGTGTCACATAAGAGAATCGATACTTGACGGGCTTGGCTTACTCGAAATAGAATGGAAAGATCAGTTTCTAACGTAAACAAATGGCACGTTTCAACAACCCATCAGGATCTAGATACCCAGACTACCTCACTTACAGGTATTCCATTGAATTTTAATTTGGTAGACTGAAAGAAACATTCAAAATTGTTGTTTGTTTGAAAATTATTGCAATTTTAAAAGCTTTTGTCATTTTTGTTTTCAAATACTGACTATTGTTATAAAGGAGTTTATTTTTCTCTCTGGACATCCTTTGTTTTATAAAAACAAACTTGAGTTGATATCCATGAAAAGTAACAAAAAGGAGGTATGAATCTTAACATTTATGTTAAAAATTTGAAAAAAAAGAAAAGAAAAAAAACTTGAGTTACAGCAATAAATACCGTTCCCTAAATGAATTGTTACAATTTTCGCGAAAGAATGAAATTACTTCGCGCTTATTACTTCGTATTGAGTCATACAATCTGTATTCCTTGACAAATTAATTAATTTTCTTTAAAGTAAATTATTTAATTTAAAGTACAAATTAATCAATTTTCTTTAAAGTAAATTATTTTTAATTTAAAGTACAAATTAATTAATTTTCTTTAAAGTAATTTATTTAATTTAAAGTACAAATTAATTAATTTTCAAAATCAGGCGATCATTTATTTCGCTAAGATTTACATAATGCCAAAATGTTCTTACATGAAACTTCACTAATTGTATATTTTATTTTAATGCATGATTTTTGGTTTAGAAATTTCGATTAAAATCCATTTTGCAGCTATTAAACATAAATGATTCAAAAGTTCATGTAAAACTCTATTTTGTTCCTACAACTGCGTGGTATGCGTTTGTAAACGTCGGCGAAAATTATTTAAAAAGCTCTTTCAGAATATTTTATTGAGTATTGTAGACATTTAAAAACCTAAGCTTTCAGAATGTTTGTTAATTTTGTCAACATTTCAAAAGCCTCACCACGAAAGAGCTGAAAACAAATTGGCGTTGCATACGAACTTTTAAATGATTTATATGAATAGGTGTGGAAAATAAGTTTATATTAAAAAAAGTAAAATACGATAAAACATAAACCAACCACCAGAATAAATTTTCACATAAGCCTTAAAAAGTTGGCAGCCCAGGTTTACACAAGACAAAACTAAAATGAGATAAATATGGTGCGCATGAAATGCTTTTTACCTTAAAAGCGGCGGCCTCCTCAGCTGTTGTGTCCTCCAGGTTTTTTTCTTCACCGGCAACATCGATTCCCACCACTTTCTGATACCGGTATTCACTACACAATTTCACAACATCTTCCATCCAACCTTTAAACATTCAAAACAACATTCATGCCTCTTTTAATGAAGTAATAAACAAAGAAAATGAAACAGAATTTTTAGACACATTCTCTCTTTTTTTTCCCACATTATTTGAGTTCCTTCTTAATGAAAAACTTGAGAGGTCACTTTCATGAAAAAACAAACAAACCCTACCGGAAGTCTTGGACTCCGTGACGTCACGGTATGAAGTGACTATTTTTTCTTTTTTAACGTCTCACGTTTCTTTTCGTAAGATTTAGTTTATAACTCAGCTGAAACGATAGAATATTTTTTAAAAGTTATTCACTTTATTTTTATTCTGAATGAGAAAACGGTATAATATGTTCATTGCACTGAAAAAAAGTTACTGTTTAGACGCAGAACTGCATTACGTAAGCTGCAAGCATATTATCAGTTCATTTCAAACTGACTTGATTGGAGATCGAAATGGGCTATAAGTGATGCTCTCTTCCTATGGCAACACATGATTTCACCATTATAGTGTGTGAAGAATCATTGGAGAAGGAAGTATGTTAGTTTCTTTCTTAGATTTCAAAGAGAAGCTTAAAAAATTTTAAGCTGGGAAATTAGTTGGAACTAAAAACTACAAGTATACAGTACCGTCTTAACGCATGGGCACACCCGGGCAGTGCCCAGGGGCCCCAGGCACTCAGGAAGCCCNTTAACGTCTCACGTTTCTTTTCGTAAGATTTAGTTTATAACTCAGCTGAAACGATAGAATATTTTTTAAAAGTTATTCACTTTATTTTTATTCTGAATGAGAAAACGGTATAATATGTTCGTTGCATTGAAAAAGAGTTACAGTTTAGGCGCAGAACTGCATTACGTAAGCTGCCAGCATATTATCAATTCAATTTTGTTTTTCAAACTGATTTGATTGGAGATCGAAATGGTCTATAAGTGGTGCTCTCTTCTTATGGCAACACATGCTTTCACCATTATAGTGTGTGAAGAGTCATTGGAGAAGGAAGTACGTTAGTTTCTTTCTTGGATTTCAAAGAGAAGCTTAAAAAATTTTAAGCTGAGAAATGATTTGGAACTAAAAACTATATTGAACATAGTTCGAAAAGAAAGCGCCGTGGAAGTTTTAAAAAATATTTTTGACAGTTAAATACGAAAAATATCAAGAAAGGGGAAAATATTGTATCCTATACAACTGAGAAATGAAGGAACAAAAATATTTATCAAAAATCTAAAAACAGACCCTTTAACAATCCCTCAAAAACTGCAGTGACCTCACATTCTGATTTAAATGTTGATTGGATGACGTGATTTTTTAAAACATTATTGACTATGTATTTTCAAATATTTGTAACGTGCCTATGTAATTTTAAATATTGTATTTCTTTCTTTCCTGTATTTTTAACTTTCAACCCCCGAGTCTTTTGGATTAATTTCACTGTAATTTTAGGAAATTAACGGGACAGTTTGAACATCTAGATATGTTTCTATGAACTTACAAATATATTTTGGTAGATATGAATTAGCAAAAACAGTTTGCTTCTTCACTTTTACTTTACCATTTATTTTAATTTTATTAATCATGGCCACTCTGGATTAACTATTGGCTTCAGACAAATGCATGATACTAAACTACTTGTCGAGAAAAGCTAATTGCAGAATCGTATAGTTATAATAGTTATCAGAAAAAAAAGGACTAGATCCTCAAAAATGTCCCTCACCTTGTTTTTCCGATTTATATTTTACATGTACCGAAAGGCACTATTAAACACAGTAAATATTCACCATCTGTTTATTTGTGGAAAGTAAATAAATATAATCAAAAGCATATTTGGAACTTTCCATCCTCTTCGACGGTTCAGTTCGATTGAGAGGCCTCTCAACTCTTTCAAAGCGAAAGGCGAGATAACTCGTCTTCCAGGAAAATTCATTGTGCACTAGAGGCGAGACTACTCGTCCTTTACACAAAGTTTTTTTCAATATTATAGCAGCGAGCCGTGATGGCTCAGCGGGATAGAGCGTTCGCCTTCCAATGAGGGACACCGGGTTCGAATCCCGGGTCGATACGAATTTCGCCCTCGGCTTGCCCTGATCACAATGCTAACGTAAAATATCCTCAGTAATAGACACGGGTTAGAGTCCCCTTGCTGTCAGGCTAAGTGTAGGAGGTTTTCCTCTCGCAAACGCTGTTTATTCCATCAAAAAGTAACGCAAACGCGGGTTAGTTCCATCAAAAAGTCTTATACGAAGGCTAATTTCTCCCAGGAGTTCCCTTGTCTTCTGGATGGGGTTCAAAATGACAAGGCTACGGAGTTGAACATGAGTAGTCGTAAACCCAAAAATTGGGTCGGTTGTTCAACGACGGTTATAAAATAAAAATGTAAAGGCTTTGAAAAAAAAACTCATCGCCTAACTCATCAACTCAAAAACTCCAGTGACTTATTTACCAACATTCAGTATATATTATTATTACTTTTATTTTAATATTTTTATGCCTTATAAGCACAAAGTAAGAATTTTTATTTATTTCGAGTATTATATTTCAAAATTAAATAAACAAGTTTTAAAGAAATTTGCGTTTTGTTTCAATTTTAGCGCAGAAGGTGAGACAAAGCCGCGATGACACCCAAGTCAAAATTCTTGATGGTCCCATCAAAAATTTTTGATGGCTTATGTTGGTTTCAGTGCGATTCATGATGGTCTAACATCATTTGATGGTCACCATCATCTAATATTTTCCATTATGTGTTCATGGTTCTTGATATGCCAGTAAATTTCCATCATTCCATGATGGCAAATGCTACTTTAATGCTATGATGGTTAACCATCAAGATAAGTTTGACTCTCACTAACTAGTTCTCAGGAATTTACCATCAAAACAATGTGGGGTTTTTTTATTGTTGGACCATCATAAATCAGTCGGAATTCTTACATTTTGATGATGGTTGTTCATGATCGTTTAAATATCTGATTCCTAAGATACTAAGATGGAAATTTCCGATGGTTCAACACGAACAAACCATCAAAACAAGTTGTTGGACCATCATAAATCAGTCCAAATTCCAACATTGAGGTCCATCAAAAAATATAATGGTTCATGATGGAATTATTTTTGGTTGAGTCCCTTCATGGAAAACCATCAGAGCTTTCGACTTGAGCAATGATTTAGGAAATTTGTTCGAACATAGGTGTAAAAATCTGGAGAAAGAATGCTCACCAGTTCTTCCTCGTATGCCACACAGAATGCTCCTAACCTTGATTCCGAATGTGGCACTCCCCTTTGACAGTCCCCTGTTCACATAGTCCACTACATCACTGGGTGACACTGTGCGTGTCACGTGGGGGAATGTCACGTTCCCGTGTGTCGATGCCAGCAAGTGAGGACTGTAACGGATTTCAACGTAACATAAATTGTCTTTCGCAGCATCTTCACAGAACTCGAAGGCAATTCGTTCGATGGATTCCGGATCACCACTTAACGGAAGAAGAAGAAGAAAATATAAGCATTCTTAGTCAGAAATAAAATATTCTGCCTTTTAAAAGATCAAAACTCCAAGAATTAACGTTTGACTAAATGATCGAGTTTTCAGGTCCAAAGAGAGAACTTTCTCTCGACCGAACTCAACTGCTGAAGAGGTGGGCTGATCCTGATTAAGATAGGGGCAATTTCACCGGGCCTCCACACCAGAGGGGGGGGGATGCCAAATCGAATAAAAAGTTTATTTTAAGTTTCCTTCTTTAATGAACTTTTTTTAAACAAAATATCAGTACAGTGTAAAATCCGTCAGTTTTATGTTAACCTCTTCATTAATCTATCATGTGAACACAATTTATTATTCGTAAATCCATGGCTTTCTAGGGCGGAATTTGGCCAAATTTTCGCAATTGCGATAGACAAATATGGCCAATCAAAAGCCTGTATTTTTACATATCGCAAAATGCGATGTGTTTTCTAAACTAGAAGCTTCTGATTGACTTCATTAAGCCATCGTCATTGCGAAAATTTAGTTGAATTCAGCCCTCATGTCAGCAAGGATACGAATTTTTCGCAGCTAGATCACAAAGTTAACAAGCAAAAAACTGTATTCGGCATGACGGACATAGAATTGTCAGAAACTCAATAAAATGCACAGAACGATATTTCGTTTGACCAATGGCGGGAACCATGTTGTTATAACACTGAACGAGAAAGAATTCTTAGTAAATAATTGTGGCTTGTCAATCAAAATACAATTTATGGCACGGCGAGCAATCCGCATCACGTTAACTTAACGTTTTTGTTTACTTCTGACATTAAATTTAAAGAAAAATTATTTGTCGAACGGTTATCTTTATTTGTGCAATTTAAAAAACGGCCCCAACTGAATGACTTCTCTGCTCCAAGTATGGAACCACACCTGAACTCTAGACATAGCGAGACTACTGATCATTTTTTCTACCTCAGTAAAACTTGCAGAGGAATTTTTTGTCGTTCAAAAAAAGAAGATAATTTTGATTGCACGTCTGAAGAAGATAAAATTCCCTCATGTTTTGAGTGACACTTCTTCATGATATTCATCTTTCATTCCATTAGTGAAGGGAACAGAATAAGAGTCAATAAGTGAGGCTATCCAAATGCAGCATTTTACAGAATTATTTGTGTGTAAAATATTCGCTGAATTAAGTTCGTTCGTATCAAGCGTAGCTCATTTATTGATATTGGGGATTGATATGAGAAATAAAATACATTGCCATCGAATCTCAATTTTAATATTGGGTATACAAATTAGTTCGGTCCGTTTTTTGTGTCGTCAAAAATGCATTTATTTCAGAACAAAATGAATGAACAGATTAATTAAAGCATTGTCCATCGCTGGTTACTACTTTTTCTCAATTCTCAGGCAATTTTCGAATTCCATCTCGAAAAAATGCCTCGTCTTTTAATGCGATCCAAGTTAGGAGCTAATTCTCGATTTCTGCGAAAGTAGTGAATTGTTGACCTGCCGAATTGTGCTGCGTCCGTCTTAACAACCAGTAATCAGAAGGAGCAATGTCCAGCGAATACTGCGGGTGCGGAAAAATATCCCACTAGAGCGTTTCCAAATAATTTTTTACGACTTTTGCGACATCAGATCGACCGTTATTATACAGAAGAATAACTTTGTCATGTCTTTGCTCGCATTCCGGCTGTTTTTCTCGTAATACACGGCTAAACGAATCAATTGTAGCCTATACCGAACACCCGTAATGGAACCACTAGGTTGTAGCAGCTCATAGTATACAAAACTATTCACCATTCTTGAAACGTCGAAACCATTCCTTACATGATTTATCAGTTGGAGCATTGTCAACATAAACTTCTACAAGAATTTAATGCTTTTCAGTTGCACTTTTCTTCCAATTAAAGCAGAAAAATAAACCTCCCGCAAATGGTGCTTAGTTACCACAAAATTTGGCATATTCAACAAAGTAAAAAACAGGTTTTTTATATGAAACACAAAGCGATATAAACTGAATATTATTGACAGATGCTTAACCTCTCTGAAAACAGCAGAGCCATCTCTTAAAAACGGACTGAACTAATTTGTACTCCCAATACAATGAAATAAAATACAAAATTAAATGTATCATGTTATTGAATGCGCTGTTAGTTATTGTTAAACGCCATATTGTACAAATATTTTTCTACTAGCATGTGCCCCTTTACATGTCTGTGAAGGTCACTCTTTCTAAATTATTATTTTAATTTATTAATGCTTATTTAAATTTCTTCTATTTTTACTTCAAAACTTATAGTTTTTTTATGGCGAGCTGAAATATTATATCAATTAAGAAGCTCCACTCTCTCCTCACGCCGTTCGCCTACCATGCAAATAATGGAAACAAAATACTCAATGTAAAGGCGCGAAAGAAAAAAAAATGCCATAACTTTAAATAGTATTTCATGTGAATGCAAACGACAGCATAGAGTAGAAGCCACCACTTATAACAATTGAACGAAATGACGGGTGAAAAATCTCAAATTAAGTCATGCATCGAGAAAATAACTTTTAATCGTTGGAACAATTTCTAATTCAACGATAAAAATATTCAATAAATATCATATTGAATTATAGTATGCATTCGATTGCATATTGAAATAAGAAAAAAATTATTTTAAATCGAAAATGAAAGGAATTAAAATATTTTTCATGAGATAAAAAAATAAGTTCATTTATCTATATATATATTTCTCTTACACGGCACCAAAAATAAGCCTCATTACAACTCCCCGAATGGCAACGCTGGAAAATCGACCAATGATTGCTGCTAAAAATGTCACATGCCAAATCTAGCTAAGATGGCTCAACATAGTTTAATATTATAATTAAATTATTATAGTAGATAAAATTATAAATTTAAGAGGAGAATAAATCTATTAAATAATAATAAATGTTGCCACCATCAAAAACTAATATTAAAGTCAAAACCGAAACTACAATATGTTGCCACCGAAAAATATACATAGATTTCCGGTAGAAAAGGCATAAGCATCCTTTGACGTTCTACTGTGACACCACAAATTGAGGCTTTTACTACTAATGGGCATATTACTCATCAGTGATTTGTAATTGATATTTATCGGTAGTGTTCTACAACGAACAGTAATGTAATGAAAAAAAGAAAAGTTTGCTATAGTTACATGACTGCTGGCAAGTACATAGAGATGGGTTTCAAGAAATTGGCCAATGTAGAAGGAGTTCGGGTGACGCAGCTATTTTTCAACTCTTCCATCGATGGAGCTAAACTAATTCCTTTCCTCCTGCAACAACAAAAAGAAACAATCCAAAAAAAATTCAACAAATGCAACATTACGTATTTTAGATATGTTGCCTCTATTTCACAAACTGTGGTTCAATACTCTATGGTTTCTAAACCATGGTCCGTGGCCCATAGACAGCATGGTAATATCAGAAGATCCTTTTGATTATCAGACACTTTTTAACTTCAATTATAAGAAGATTTCATACTAAGACCAAACTTTACATAAATTATTATTATTATGCACAGACTCTTATGGCTGATCATTTTTACACCTTCAATCAAGTCTTCTAGTTAAAAAAGTTTAAAAAAAAAAAAAAANAAAAAAAAAAAAAAAAAAAAAAAAAAAAAAAAAGAGAGAGATAATGTGGTAGTATTTTGCTTATAATGCACGTTCACAAAGTTTTATATAACTCATGATATATTTTTTTCCATAACTAAAGAAATTTTTGTAGCAAAACTAAGAAGATAAAATGTATTTCATTACAATTATATTCACCACAATATTCAATTTCGGTAACTTCAAATATCTAGTCACAAAATAAGTTAGCTACAAAATTTCATAATTGCAATATAGATCTAACTGTTTTCGAACTTTTTTAAGAACCACATAAACCTTATTAAAATATAGATGTTTGCCTCGACGAACATAAGATTCTGATCAAAATAATGATAAAGACCTAAATGTAACACCCTATACAAAATGATAAAAACTTCATTGACTTCAAAAAAAATATGAATATGGTTATAAAAGTCGAGTGCTTAAAAAAGTATGCTTCGAGTGCTTAAAAATAGGCTCGGCTCCCATTCTCAAGACTCGTCAGACATGAAGAAGGAAAACGATAGTGGCTAAAGAAAATGTAAAGCTGCCAACAAAAAATGGAAAATAAAGGTGAAAACTAAAACTAGAAAAACCGCGGTAGTCGAGAGTTAAATAAGAAATGAAAAATAAGTAATGGTTTGAAAAAAAAACTGTAAAGCCTGTATTTACAGCAATAGGAAAATCAAAGCAAAATGCATTTCTCCACTCTATAGAGAGTAGTGAGGAACAAGTGAGATTTGGGTTATTTAAAGGATATCAGGGGTTTCTAGAGGGTCGTTGAAAAAAAATATGGATGAAATTAGAATTGAGTACACATTAAAATTCATAATTTTTTTATTTTTTTGTTTGTTTTCGGAGAAACAAACTTTCTCCGTTTATCTATCGTAATAAATAAACGTAATAATCAAACGTAATTCACGTTTCTATCTCAGCATAAAATAAATGCTATCTTATCAATTATGTTATTAATACTGCTTGTCTTCTTTTTTTAAGAAAAAAAAGGAAAGAAAAGAAGAAAAAAACTCTTATTATGACAAGAAAATTCTGTGACACTCGTTTTATGATATTAGCAGCACCTTGCTCTTCGTATGAATTATAAACTTCTGTGCGTTTTATCTAAATGTCACCTAAAAAGTGACATACTCTCTAACTAAATCAAACTTGCATTAAAAGAAAAAAAGTAAGAAACTTATTATTCTTGACCTTTTAAAAACACATAACGCATTTAATTCTTTTTATAAAAAGAATTTTTAATAGACACGACATCAAAAAATAATTATTTTAAGATTTGCAAGTAATAACTTACGAATTTAAACTTTCTTATTTGATTTCAAAATATATTTAATTAAGCACTAAAAAATACAGGATTACAAAATAACAAGTCAAAATAAATGTTTATAAATTTTTTAAAAAAAAGTCTCTAGCATTTTTATATAATTATATGTTTCCAAAACTTTTTAATAAGCTGAACTAGCTAAATCTAAAAAAGGTTGGGTGCTTGTGTTTCAAAGAAGCAATCGCTATAGCGGAAATGCGATAANTAGTGTTTCAGGACGTATTGCACCATCGAGATGTATGTGCAGCTCCACCTGCAAAAAATGAATATTCTGGATTTAAAATGAATAGTAAAAGGGACAACAAAACTAACAACAAAATAACTTGGGTTCTCATCAGGCCAATATTCATGAATCTTGGCTCGGTAAGGGTTCTAAGGACCGTTATTGGCCCTCTATAGAATTTTCCAAATTACCCGATATTTTACAGCCACTGTACAACCCATATCGGCCCTATATAGAATTTTCAGATTCATCCGATATTTTATATCCATTTTTTAGCCATTATGGTGAGGGGAGGAACTATTTGAAAAGAAGGACAATTTTTCTGGACACTTTATTTCAGGATTACTGGGAAAAACTTTAAGGGGAGGTAGGTGACCACAAGAATTCAAATACTGATACGTTAATGATTCAGATGCGCTTCAGACCATGGGCATAGCAACCCATGCTCATGGTCAGAAACGTCTTCTTTCAGAAGATGGAATGGTGGCCACCACGCTCGCCTAGTTAAAGCTACATGGATTTCTTTCTTTGGGGTTCACTGAATAGTGTTGTGTACCTGTGAATTTCTAAATGAATCTGGTTGCAAGATCTTGGTTGATGCGGTTATCTAACAAACTCCAGTAATGCAAATTATGGTGTAACGGAAGCATCGTTAACGGTGGAAAGATCTTTTGTGACATTTTCACATATCATCTACCACAGGGAATAGAACGTTCGCCTTTTTATGACGTGAACCGCGTTCGAATCTCAGCGATGGCTGGTCGATACAAATTCCGCATCCGGCTTGTACCGACTGCAGTGCTGACGTAAAATATCATCAGTAGTAGAGGGATCATGAATTAGAATCCCCTTGCCATCAGACTAACCGTGGGAGATTTTCCTTTCCATGTGACGTTAGTTTCATCAAAAAAATAATTCCTCCACGAAGGCAAATTTCTCCCAATACTTGACCCAGGAGTTCCCCTGTCTTCAGGATAGGGTTCAAAATGACAAGGCTACGGAGTTGAACACTCGTAGTTGTAATACCTAAATTGGGTTGACTGTTCAACGATGGTTATTAAATATAAATAAAATAGCATCATGTAAAGTCGGGTATCTTTCTGACATTTGGAATTTTTGAAAGCGTTTACAATAGATGATTTTAAACATGTCAAAGAATCGAAAAATAAAATAAAAATTGAAAAACAAATTGCATTACCTTCAAAAAAATCCGTTTTGCTTCTTTTTAAACTTTCCGATTTTATTTCAACTTATCACTTGCGATGATAGAATGAACCAGCCACTGCGTCTGTTCAGAGCATGTAATATTACAATTCAAGTGCAAACGGTTTCAAGTTCAAACGATCGTGCGATTTCGTCAAAAAACTTTATAATTAAGTGTATAAAACTTATAATGAAGACTTACGACGAATTGTAATCCCTATAGCGCCATCTGCGCTTAGCTTTACACCATTGGTTCTCAACGGGGGCGTTGGGAGTATGCTGACGGGCGTTGGGTATGTTTTGGGCGGTAGAGGGGCGTTGGGTATGTTTTGGGCGGTATAGGAGGGCGATGAGCATGTTTTGTCATTTAAATTCAATTTTAAAACAAAAAAGTTATTAAATTAAGATTTATTTAATAAATAAAATTAATCTAAAATTAATATTAAAGAAAAAAAGATTTAATTAATATAATAAATAACAATTATCCGATACAACATCTGTACCAGCAATAAAACGAACTTATACAACTCCTATTCTCCGATCCGAGCCAACACAGTTCAGCGCATGAGTCAGTAGTTTTTGCCTCTGACTCATTCAAGTCATTTGGTGGAAATTGAAGTGCATGCGCTTTCAGTATGAATTTTTGATTTGACCCGTGTTTCTTATGATGGTTTTCGTTAGCTTCCTTACGGCTTTCTCTCCAGTTTCGATTAGATCTCATAGTTTACTTGGCCAGGTACGTGCGCGAATTAGTTTTTATCATAAATTATTTATTAATTTTGAGAAATAGTTGATTTTCTTTTATGCTTTGTAATTTGCTGCCACCAACAATATCGGTTAACAAAAAGAAGTGTCATCAATACAGTGCCACGTTCTTGAAGTTGGGATTTGTTCAATCATTGTTGAACTCCCAAATACCCATGTGTTTACTTTGTAAGAAAGTTTTATCTAATGAGGTAATGAAATCTTACCATTAGCAGGAGCATTATAAAAAAAACTCATCCTGACAAACAAAATAAAGATTTGTCATTTTTCATGAACATCTTTTTTCATGTTTCTGAAGGCATTTGCAGTCTCAGGGTTACTAGCAACCTCATCACAAAAATGCGACGATGGTTTGATAGCTTCTTATAATATATCAAAATTTATTGCTAATTCTGGGAAGGCTCATACCATCGGAGCAGAGTTGATACTGCCGGTTGTCAAGGAGGTTTTAGAAATAGTTTCACACCATCCAGCTGCATCCACTGTGATAAAAAAAATATCCCATAAGCAACGATATTAACGATACAGTGCAGCGACGAAATGTTGAGATGGCTGAAAACGTTGAAATTTCTTTATGCAAACTTTTGATATCCAACGAATTTTCCCTTCAAGTTCATGAATCAACCTTGAAAGGTAATGTAGGCTCTACTGTAGGCATAGGTCCGGTTTGTAAAGGTAGGAAAAATTATTCAAGATATGCTTTTTGCAAGAAACTTGATTGTAGATATCAAAGGTAAATCTATTTTTAATACTGTCAAAGACCATTTTAAAGAGAAAAACATTCCTCTTGCGAATATTATGTCTATTGCCACTGATAGGCTCCTGCAATGGGGGCCGACATCGCCCTTTTGGAAAGATAGGTACCAGATATTTTTAGCTGTTCACTGCGTGATTCACAGATAGCATTTAGTAGGAAAAAATCTCAGCGACCGTTCGCATAAATCATTGCAATATGCCATGTCTGCTGTGAACAAAATTCACAGTAATGCTCTCTACGATTGATTATTCAGACAGCTGTGTAAGAAGAACAATGAAGAATTCAATCGCTTGCTACTATACACCGAGATTCGCTGGTTTTCCAAAAGCTTCAGTCTCAATAGGCATTGGAATCTTTTCGACTCTATGCTTGAGTTCTTCGGAAACAGCGATGCATCTC